GTACTCTCCAGCTGCCTTGACTTAGCTTCACCAGTCTATCTGCTATCCTAACAGGAATGCCAGCTGGTCATAGGGTTGGATCCTTGCCTATGCAGAGTTTTCCTGCTCCCTTCCCACATGCTTCCATTTCTGACTTCCTGCAAGAGCCGGGCCCTGCTGCAGAACCTAGGAAGCTAGCTTCGCTCACTGTGACTTTTGCTGCATGTTTTTACCATTCTCGTAACTGCACCAGGCTGTGTTCTGACAGATAAATGACAAATGAGGACAATCGCACATGGTCTCACTTGGAGGAGTTTTAACCAAAGATGAAATTTGTGGTTCAAAACCACGCAGGCAAAGTAGCAGGCTCTTTCCAGAGCATCTGAGAGAAATGAGCTAATAACTAGTCATGGTCCTCTGGAGACTTCACCCTGGTTCCTGAAAGTAAATATTTTGAAATTGAATTTGTAACAGTGATTTCCATTTTCAGATATGACATGATAATTCTTCTGGGTCTGAAGAGATGTTTTGTGTGTGAACATTTAAATCACCTCTGATAGTTACAGACTGTCTACCCCCAAATCAGAAGGTGACACCTCTACCTGACTGAGCCGAAAGGCTGAAGAGCCAAAAGGTGTTCACATCTGCAGCAAAGTGATGTTTTCCATCGGAACTCAGCTGGAATGCAAGAACTCCACTAGAGAGCTTGGGACTCATTTTTGGGACAGGCGCTCCCACTCTGACTGGTTGAAAGAGCAGATAAAACCGTGTTTCTGGAACTGCCTGCCTGCTCCTGCAGCTCGGCCTTGCTTTGCCTCATCCCCAGCCATGAACCCCAACGGCCAAACCCATTCACTGAGTTTTCACCACGTCTTGTTTCAGCATCATCTCCCTTTTAGCCTCAAAAATTTTTCATTTGCCGTTGAGAAAAATGACACTAAGGGAAGGTAAGTGTCCTTATGGTACAGTTAACTGGTATGAAAGAATGTGCCAAAATCTAGGTGTCTCACGTCCCATACTAAATGTGTAAAAACACTCTATACATTGCCACAGGTATGTGTGATTTGGCTGACGGAAGGGAAGAAGGACATTTTATGAATTTGAAGAGATATTGCTTGGAATTTGAAGTTAACCTATGATGCCAAAGCATGAAATATTATTCTGATTATCTTCCTACCACCCTCATTCAATCAACTGAGTAGCTGCCTAGAGTCTACTTCTGTGAAAAGAACTGTGGAATGCCAGGCAAAGCACGAGAGGCGTGATTCCTGCCTTCCCAGGACTCAGTCCTCCTCCTTCTCTTCACTTCTTCACATCCATCTTCCTGGTATTCCCAGCACCACCCCCCACACACACATACAATTCGCCTCTAGCCTCCATTGCAGCCCTCCTCCGAGTTCAGATCCTCGGTGGACACTTGGTAAGTACTGTACTTGGTGACATAATTTGGAAATAGAGAAGGGGCTTCCTGTACTGGTTTTCACATCTTCTGAGCCTAACAAAGTCCATTTTCCTTAGAATTCTTTGTGCTACTCAAGCAATTAGGAACCATTTATGAAATTATTCTGCTGAGATCTTTATACATTCATAAAAACAATCGGGTGCTCTGGAGAACTACTGCATATTAATGCCAAAAGGCTAATATTATGGTAACCACAGTTCCTGAATTTTCAATTCCCTCATTGTTGAATATGGTTTAGATATACACAGGAGCATTTGAAAAATGTGAAAGGGCCCAGTGATAAATTTACTGCCGTGGTAATATAAAAACATCAAGTATTAAAATATTTGTTATGGATTGAATGAAGCCTCAGCTGAACAAATGGTAAAGAATATTCACATTTGACACATACGTAGGGCAGGTAAAGGGGAAAAGATGAAAAAGCTATTGTCTATATTTAATTTTATCCCCTTTACAAGAAAGTGATACTCTGAAGTGCAAATAAAAATTTCATATGAATAAAAATTTTTTAAAAACATCTTTATAAAATTAGAGTGCTGAAGATACCAATTTCATTGTTAGTGTGGATAGACAAGTCCTCTGGAAAGAGCTCAGACACCACTGCTGGAGATATTATTATTTAATGCATTTCTAGTCTTAAAACTATGCTTGCCCAACCACTCAACTTCTAAGAATTCACACTAGGGAAATGAAAATATAAATAAAAAGGTAGCTGTGAAAATGCTCATCATAATATCATTTAAAGCAGTAAAATAAAATGTTAAGAGACTTAGGAATGTGACAGGTGGGACCACTGAGCCCCTTAGGTCAGGTCCTGGCTTTGTTCCATCTCGCCAACATACTGGGCATCATACTTTTAAATTTCATCACCCAGCCACCTTCCCAAAGTTTCACCTCTTGCAACCATGATATGGCAGAGTATTTAACCTATGAACTTTTAGGGGAATACGGTACAGACCACAGTGTAGAGATCAATGAAAAGGTGAACATCAGGCTCTAAAGTAATGTTTACTGTCTGCTTGAACACAAGTAAATAACTATTAGATGTTACCCAGTGTACTTAAGATTCTTTTGGATTCAGATCCATTTCTCTTACAAGTTAATTGTATTTCAAACAAGCAAAAAAATAAAAAAATTCAGTTTCTTTACCTCCTGTGGTGGGTACCGTTGAAAATTGTCTGCTGTGGTAATATAAGTTTAGCACTTAGTGTAGTGCCACCTAAATGACTTCTGTAATAATAAAAGAGGCATTTCTGTATAAGTGGTAAGTCCTCCATGCCATAACAAGCATTTCAAGATCTCACCCAATCTTATAATTCCACTCCAGTAATTGTATACATAATGTGCCAAGGCAAGAAATACTGCAGCTATCAGCTTTCAAATGTCTGCAATGATTTTTTAAAGTACACACTATGATTCTACCTAACAATGTTTATTATGGGATACTCAAAACAGATGTTCATATAATTCAGAATAATATGGAATTCTAAGAATGAGATTTGTAAAAGGTAAAATTACTGCTGTTAAAGCTACCTTGTCCTACCATCAAGAATCACGCAGGAATATTGACTTCAATTTCACTATTTGAATAGGAATGGATTTGCACTGAGAACTCTAATCCTTCCCTCTCCCAAAGCATGAATTTGAACTATAAAGACCCACTTGTTACCTAGGTCTTTTTATTCCAAAAACAAAAGGTTTCTTCCTCTAATCCTCATAAAATCAGTTTGATCACCCTCAGTTTCAAGCAAATAAGTACTGTGCTACGGGCTTGCACTAAATGTTATTAACATGGAAATACTGCACTTCAATTCTTCCCTAAGTTTTAAAATTAGGATCTCTTGACTTCCACCAACAGAAGCAAGAGCCTGGCCATATGCTTGTAGCACATACCATGTGTACAGAACTTTCAAATCTATCATCATTAGTAACTTTATATTCAGGATACATAAAGCTCATCACTTTTCATAGTTTTGAAGCTCTGTTGTGGAAATTATACTTCAACTTTAGGATTCATCTTTGGAACTAAAAGCATAGATGTTTGGTTTATAAAAACTCTACAAATCCTGCCAGGGATTTGGCTCAGTGATTCCGCTGCCTGCCTTGCAAGCACAAGGGCCCGAGTTTGATCCCTGGTACCAAAAACAAAAAAACAAAACAAAGCAAAAATACCCATAAAACTCTACGAATCCTTAGTGAGCACAAGAAAAAGAATACTCACAATCAGACACCTCCCAGGCTAGAGGACGCTAATTACATCCAGCTGGGAGAGGCTATAAGCTGTAACAGTGCTGAGTTTGGCAGGACTACAGGCACTTTCCTAGACATCTGGTAAAGGTGAAATTGACTTCAACACTCCGTGCCTAGGACAGGTAGACAAAAACCCAGGAAGATTAGCATTGGCCTCACAGCATCAGATAGAGTGACTTGGCTACGTTTTTTGTTTCTGGTCCAAAGCTTTCTAACTAGAGTAGCAGGTTTAAAGAAAAAAAAAATTTTCCCTCCTTTCCCCTTTATTGCTTCTGGTTTGAGGCAGTTAGTTAGTTACTTATGTCCATGTGATTGCTTTCTGGTTGCATTTATGGTTACTAGGATGGAATTACAAATACTTCACTATTACTTCCAGCCCTCAGCCAGATGTGAATCTAAGTTAAACAAAGACTTAAGATTCTCAAAACATTTTTTTCTTATTACCTTTTTTCCCCAGACTGGTCTGTGAAAGAATGGAGTAATGAGTGAGTTTTTAAATTCAGAAATTAGTGAGGACAGTGCTGTTCTTGTGTGAAATTCACAGGAAAGCATCCACTAAACACATAGGATTTTACCTGAAATTTGGATTTTACCTCTAAGAATCACAATCCCCCAAGAGTATTCACTAGAAATCTTACTTATACACTCTACATATTGCTAGTTTTATTTCTGCATCCCTGAAGAAATATATTTTATCCCTATGGCCCATATTTTATTTTTAGATTAGGATAACCCAGAGGTCATTTTGAAAAGTTGTCTGCCCCCTTTTTTTGTCACATTAATTTTATTAGCCAGTTTAAAAGAGATTACTTGCCAAATTAGATGTTTTCATGTGTTCTTTTGCTGAATCATCTACAAATAAGTTTCCTATTAAAACCTACTTACAAAGCAGCTCAAAACAAAATAACTTTTTTAACATTAAGAGAGGTTGGATTTTAAAGAGATTAAAGGCAAGTGACTGCTAAAAAAGACACAAAAAAGGACAAAGTATTTGAAACTTTCACAAGAATGGAAAATGTTTAATAAACTTAGAATGGTGGGCTTATTAAACGATAGTGTTATTTACAGCTATTATTCATCAACCACAAACACGAGAATGTGTTTGCATGGCATGCTACAACAAAAGCTTTATTCAGTCCATTCAGAAAACATTGGCAAAATAAATTTCAGTTATAAATTCACAGATACAAGCTTCAAAGTATAAAGTTGCATATAACAAAAAATACAGGTAATATTTATAACAATAACTTACAGATACAAACTAATGATAAACTACAATTTCACAAAAGATTGTAAACATTTTGCACACTTGTCAGTCCTTTCTTCTAGGCAAAGTGCTCTTTTGATGACAAATAAATTAACAGATACACTCTAGGGTGAACTATTTCCAGGCAATACAAAAAATGTTTTGATCTGTTTTCTTCTTGTAAACATAAGTTTTACAAAAAAAAAAAAAAAATGAAGAATCAATAAAAGTGTCTTGCAGGCCAACTATAGATTACCTACCTGGGCAGCAAAGTGATGTTGGAAATGCTTTGGGTGTTAAATAAAAATTAACATTAATATTTTTTCAATGGTATTTTATACATAATAAATGACAAGTTTATAACCTTAATCATTTCTATCCCTGAAAAAAGGAATTAGGTATGACTTATTGGCAGCTGTGTCATTGAATGGGGTAACAAGGGCTGGAGTCCAAGAGTTGTTGGCGAATGAGCTACAAAATAGAAAGAAACCTGTGAATCAGTTTTTAGGGTGAATAAAACTTCATCTAAAAACAGACAAATAACCCAAGGCAGTGTGCTTCCATGGCTCATTACAGCTGAGGGCTCGAAGCCACTGCAGTCCACCTTCTCGGCAGATGCATTCACTTATCCAGCATCATGAGTAGAGTATGAAGCAAGAATCTAGGAATAATTTTCTCCCTCAAACCTTTTCTGGGGTCATGAGCTTCTGTCACTGTAATGTTATCCCCTACCCCATTCTAGGTACTGTACCCTGCAGCCAGAAAAACACACAAGCTTTGTTGTAGAGATGTTGCTGGTTTTTACACACAGGTGTCTGAAAACAAGAAGCTCAAGTTCCCCTTATTAATGCTTATGTATCTCCTCTGGAAACCATACACTAAAGCACAGTTCCCTCAGGCAACACTAGTCTTTCAAATGAGTGTGCACAATTATGATGCTAGTGTTAGTAAATGACAACAATGATACAAGCTCTGTTTTTATTTAACCAAAACTTAAAGTGAAGTTGAGTTCAGCTGTGCTGCTCCAAACCAACCCCCGCCCCAGCAACTACAAAAACTGGATGACATTTTAAAAAATCTGTTGGACATCTGAAAGATGCATAAGGAGAGAAAGATTGCAAAATCAAGTCCCTGAGAGGAAGGAAAGAGAATGAGGCTGCTCTTCTCCCACAAGGATGGTGAGAATTTTAAAATAAAAGGAACATTTAACAGGCTAAGAAATTTGGCAGAGTATCCAGAAGTTAGGCTTTGGCTAGCTAGTAGGGACAAAAAAATGAAAGCCCCCTAAAGAGGAAAAGCCCTAGTTAAAAACAAAACCAAAACCAGACTTTTGTGATCTAATCTAAGGACCAGTGGAACAAAACTAGATCAGTCTCAGGACACTGAGCAGATTAAGATGAGCCTCCCCACCTGTCTATCTGAAGTAAAAGTGTACTCATCCCTCCAAAGATGCCATCCAGGGCTTCAAATTATTTTTAGTATTTCATATCTGACACTGGAAATGCAATTTTTAAAAAGAATGTAAGAAAGACATGACTTATTTGAAAAGAGAGGAGAACAAACCCACAGAGTAGACCCACAGAAGGTCCAGACATTGGAGTAATTGGACGTGAACTTTAGTATAACTGTAATTAATATAATAATAATCTAAGGAATAAAGTGACAAAATAGATATCAGCATAGAAATAGAAATTCTCAAACTGAAGAACAACCGATATTAAGAGGTCAGTGGATGAGTTTTACACATTATTAGGAATGGGAGAATTAATGCACTAGAAGTTAGAGTGGAAGAAAGTATCTAGACAAAAGCACCTGAGGTCAAAATGTTGAAAAATATGAGGGCAGAAACAGTTTTCAAACAGAAAAAAGTTAAGAATTTCTTAATGAAAGACTTCAAAGTATACATTCCAGAAGCACACCCACGGACATAATGATAAAATATTTTTGAGAACAAAGAGAGAAGCTGAGGGAATATAAAAAGATATTTACTTTCAAAGGAAGAAGATGATCAAACAGATTTCCACTACAGGTGATGCCAGATCAATCAGCTATTCATATGTGAGACAAGAAGAGCGAGGGAAGTGAAAACGATGAAAGAAAACTGCCCACCTAGCTTTCCACACAGAATAAATATCACCTACAGTTCCATCACAGAGTTACTCAGGGATACACGGCAAAAGATTTGCAGGACTATTAAAAATTCTGAAGTACAAAAACAACTTAATGACAAAATAACTGGAAAGATATTAAAGTTTGTGGTAAAGAAAATGATATTAAGATGGAGGAATTATTTTATCAAAATTGTTTTGCCTTTTTGGTATGGAAAGTGACGAGCTAGTTGACATTTTATGAAAATATGGAGTAAAGAGCAGGTTACACAAATCTGAATAACAACAAAGCAGAAATACTTGTACTGCTTGACATCAAGAATTATAGCCTTGGTATAACATGGTCAGATATTAATATAAAGATAAATAGACCAATGAAACTGAATAGTTAGAAATTGACATGCAAAATTTATGGACACTTCACTTATGACAAATAGGGCTCTAGAGAGGAGCTGGGAAATCTGTATTTTTACCAGTACAACAAAAAAGCTTTACTTCCTGTCTCACACCACACTCAAATTTATTTCCAGATGGTCTGTAAATTTAAATGTCTAAAGTAAAGCAAAGTTTCTACAAGATAGGATAGGAAGAATAGCTTCATTATCTTTGAGTGGAAACAATTTCTTAAACAGACCTCCAATAATACACAGTCCATGAAAGAAAAAATCGGACAAAATTAGCTCTATTAAAATTAGGAATTTGTGCTGAACAAAACATTCCACAATAGAAAAAGCAGGCCACTGATAAGATGGTTATTTTCAGCACACAATCATCAAAAAGCTTTTTATGCAGATTATGTCAAGAAGCAAAAATCAAGTTTTCAATAAAAGAAACCAAAAGGCACGTATAGGTCTTCACAAGAGGATATATAAATGTCCAACGGGGAAAAATGCAGAATCTCAGCAGTCATGAGAGAAAAGTAATATAATGAAATAGCACTACAACATCTTCCAACTGAATAAAATTAAGAAAGCGGTGGCCAGGGTGCAGGGCACCTTGACCTGTCATATGCGGCTGCTCAAAGTGCCAGCTGATTCCACACTAACGGAAAACTGGCTGGTAGACCGACCTAAGGGTGGGCACATGTGTGGCCTGTGGCCTTATCTGTGTTCCACTCTCAGATACACACCAAACAGAAGCACGAAGTCCCTAGGGTGCACCAAAACGCATGTTCCGTAAAACCCACAGCAGTGTGTTCATAAATACCCGAACTGGGAGAGACACAAAAGTCTACCCATAAATGGATAAATTGTGATAATATTTCTCAAAGTGGAATTCTATACAAGGAGAAGATAAATCACTGGCTCTTGCAACAATACCGATGAGGGACTGGAAGAGTAAGACACACATGAATTCCTTCTCTATGATTCAATTTAGATAAAGCTCAAAAAAAAAAAAAAAACAAAAAAGAAGGGCAAAACTGAGGCATGGTTTTGGAAATGAGGGCTACATTACTTTTCAAGAAAAAGAATGACCAGGAGGAGACACAAGAGGTGTCTGGGTGCTAATCATTACTCCATACCATCTGGGCAGTACTTATCGGGGTATGTTCACTGTATTAATTCATCAAACTGTATAAGTTCTGTGTGTACTTTCCTACGTGCAGAATTTGCTTCAGTAAAAATTTAACTGAGTGGAGTAAGACCCAGTCTAAAGATCTGACTGTGATCTTTCCCCATTGGAAAATAAAATCATTTAAATATTTATCAGGTGAAGAACAAAATTCTTTTTCTTAGCAAAAGTCAAGCAGTAAGAGTGATCATTATTGACATTTGTCTTGTAGCTGTAAAGTGGGTATTAGACTTGTCCTTTCAAATGAAATCACAAGAAGAATGATTGGATAATTTTTTCTCTCTAGTGTAGTCTACAGCATTCTTTAGCTACAACTGAGGTAATATTTCAAAATGTAAATCGCGTCTGTAATCTAGCATTAGAAGCTGCCAGTGACCGGCTGACTGAGTGCCAGCTCTGCGATGCTGGGATACCTACCATCCATGTAACTATGTAGCGCAGTTAGCATTGTCCCGTCTTGGGGCACATAGGCAGAGTAAGCCATTTCTTCTAACATGGGCGGAGACAGCCTGGAGGGTGGGACCGCGGTGACGGGGGCAGAGGAGGCGTGATTGGGGCTGACGTGCTTCTTGTGGCGCGCTCTGCAATTCTGAAACCACACCTGTGGGGAGAAAAGCGCAGTAACCCACGTCACTGGTCAGCTTGGCAGGGTATTACACGGATCGAGTAGAAACGAATGTGGCTTCAACTGCTCCATCACTTGAGCACAGAACAAACTTTTTTTTAAGTTCTGCAGACAGAAGGGAAACAATTTAGCCCGGATAGCAACAGTCATTTTTTTCCCCTTAGAGAGTCCCTCTCTGGTAATTTACTTGAAAGGATAGAAAGGGAAGAGGAAGTAGAGGAGGAAGAGGAAGGAGAAGAAGAGGATGAGGAGGAAAAAGAGGAGGAGGATATGATGGAGGTGGAAATAGTGGTGGTAAAGAAGAGAAAGAGCGTACAGGAGGAGGAGGAGGAGAAGAATGCTGGAGGAGGACCAGAGATTTAGCTCAGTGGTTCCGCTGCCTGAGTTCTATCCCGCTGCCTAAGTTCTATCCCGGTACCGTCCACACCCCCCCCCCACAAAAATGACAAAAGGAGGAGAAGGGCAATGGAGGGGTGAGGGAGGGAGAAGTGAGGAGGGAGAGATGATAAATGGAGGAGGAGGAAGTGGAGGACTGCACAAATGGCTCAAGGATTCCAGAGAAGTGCCCTTGCTTTTACTACTGGCATTTAGGAAAAAAAGGAATGAAGGTAAAAAGCTTTTGAAATCAGGACCTTAAACACACACACACACACACACACACACACACACACACACACCCGCTCTGAATGTATTCTTAGACACCTGCTGAACTTATTTCAAATGCTTATTCAAATGATCAAAATCCCTACTGAGAATTTAAACCTTTCTACAAGCCTCTCGATTTAGTTAGTCCATTCACATTTTAACCTGCTGTGTTCAATTTTTCTTAGTGAATACATAGACCATTCCCTAAGAAACACGCTGATGTCAGAGCTATAATAAGAAAAACTAGTACTGTTTAAGTAAAATTAAACACAACCACATCCAACCAATGACAGAGTTCACAGACTGTAAAGGTGCTGAACACTCAGTTGTCCACTCTCTTGCAGAAACGAGGCGAATTCAGGACAAGTAAGGTTATGCACCCAGGTGCGTGTAGATGAAGCTGAACACACCAAATGCTTCCAAGGAACTCTTCTGCCTGTATTTGAATTCCCTGCCAGGAAGGAAAACTTCTCCACAGAGTGTTACCCGACTCAAACTCCATGTCCCTTAACTGCCGTCATTCCAAGCAATTCTGTCATGAGCGGAAAGTTACAGCAAGGGATAAAGACCTCAAGGGAATTAGAAACTTTTTAGGATCAGGGGAGAAGGCCAGGGCAAGGTCAAGGACCTCGCTTCTGTCCAGGGCTGTTGAGCAGGAATTGTACAGCACAAGAAAATTCAAGGAAATGAGTGTGGAACAGAAAGGAGCTTCAAGAATTTATAACAAAAGTTGGCCTGATGTAAAAGACACACCTGACCCGGGGACTCAAAATAGAGGGCTGGCACAGTGTGAATTCAAGGGGTTGAAACTCAAGGAGTACAAATTAATAATTTAATGGCTCTTGCAGTCCCCGCCCACGTGGTATAAAGGGTGGCTCCAAGGAAGGTTCCAGAACAAGGCTTAGGCACACATCAAAGAAAATGAATGAGATCTCAGAGGTGCCTCCTCATCCTCTTAGAGTGGTAGATTCTGAGATCCCAGGACAGAGCCCACGCTGAAGTCTCCGGTCACCATTCCACTCACAGGCTCCATAACTGCAGGTGCCACGACTATCACCAGTTGTACCCAAACGAGAAGCCATTCTGACATTCATTCCCTAGCTCACAAAAGACCATGCTGCCACCCACCTCCCTAGAAGTTGCCCTCCCTGAAGGGCTACAGAGACCCTAATCCAGATTCTCTATAGTGGTCCCAGAGTTTCTTCAAAAATATCTCTGTCTCCAGTCAATTATACATTGGACAGATCTACTCACTTGTAACTGTGTCCAGTTATTACCGTTTCACTGAAACAAAAGAGAATCGCAGACTTGGAAAACAAATATAAATAGTGTGTAACATAAATAGCAGAATAACCACTCTTAACGCAGTGATTCAAACACCTTCTTGGAAAGACCATCTACAGGAAAGCTAGCAGGGAGAGGTATGTGGACACAGCGTCATTCTACAGGAAAAGCAAAGTACAGCTGAGGATTCCAGGCATTAGAAGAAATGTGACAAGAAAGCTACACCTTCAGAATTCAAGTTAACTGTTTTCTCCTTCTGCTTTGCAAACCTCTACCATGAGTTCAATATTTTTGAGGAACACATTTTGAAATTTTTATTGAAAAAGTTTTAAGTTCTAAATCGTAAGTACCATAAGCTGAAAGCAGACCATGGAAATACACTGCAAAAAAAAATTTTTTTTCCTTTTAATCTAGCTGGGCATGGAGGCACACCAGCTACTTAGGAGGCTGTCAGGATTATTGCAAGTTCAAGGTCAGCACAGCTAACTTAGAGAGACCTTGTTTCAAAGAGGGTTGGAGATGTAGCTCAGTGTTCCCCGGGCTCACTCACCATGGACACACATGTACGCACCTGTGCAAATGCACAGATTCCCCCCATGCATAAAATGAATCCTGTAGAAAGTCCAGACAAAAAGCCAAACAAAAGAATTTAATGTAGGAAAAAAAAAACCTGAAATTGTGCATTATTGGAAAACCATGGCTTACCAATTTAGGGAAAACTGGTTAATCATTTCAGAGAGAGAGAGAGAGAGAAAGATAAACCTCCACCTCACATGGAACCAATCCAAATAAATTAGTTTTTGTGTAAATAATTGAAACCATGAATGTTTAAGGAAACAAAAGCCAATACTGATACCCTTTTTAGATAGAAAACATAACAAAGGCCACAACTATCAAAAGATAAAGACATCAGAATACATAAAAACATATAAGTTCTGTATGGAAAAATAGGTGAAAAGGAACTTGATGAACCATGAAAGTTTAATATGACAGGATTAATAAAAATCAGTAATATGGAGAGAAAATAACTCACCAGAAAAGTGGACTGAAACCATACCTTTTTTTACAATTGTAAAACAAGCAAATTCAACTTCACTGATAAAATAAGTAGAAATGAAAATAAGATTTTCTTTTCTGACTACCAAATTGGCAAGGGTATAAAAAGAATGGACCACATTCAGGATTCTCATGAGTTAAGGAAAAGAAACACTTATAAGTAGTTCCTGGCAGAGGCAGAATAAATTAGTATACATGTTTTGGGAGGCAATTTATATGTATTGGCCCTAAATATTCTACCTTTTGATACAACACTCTCTCGTTGAGAAATTTATCAGAAGGAAACTATTGGGCACACATTCAAGACAGATACATGATGTTGCTCATGGCAGCATTTTTTAATACTGAAAAATTAGAACAGAAATGAATTATGCTATGCTCAATATATTCAGCAATAAAAATGATGTGCATATCATATGCAAAAGCATCTCTGGTACACTGATTGAAAGAAGCAGTTTTACTCTGTTTCTGTGGGATCTACAACTCATGATTCACTTATCTGAAAGGGTATATGAATAACGACTGGATCGGTTGCAGAAGGTTAAAGAAAAGTCAAGTCACCCATCTTTATCCTGTGGCTTCAGGCCAGTGACAATCTGTTCTGTTACAAATGTCTTGCAAAGATTTGCAGCTTGTGAAGCTGGGACTCTCCATGCAAGGCTGTCCCACTATTTCCACCTATTCTTTGGGGGACCTACCTTGCATCTTACAATAGTGACCTAGCAGGCAAAATTCTTCCACAACCCTTTTAAAGTGTAGTGCCTGACACCAGGAAGGGTTTAGGGAGTGGATTGTGATTTCCACTTTGATGTCACAGTAATTTAATTCTCAAAAAATACCATGGACTATATATTTAAATTACACACACACAAATGATACACACATTTGTGTGTTAATACACCTTCCTTTGCTATCTTATCAAAATATCTACCATTCAGTGTTCACATAGTGAAAGACAAAAATCTAAGCACATATTCTCCAGGTTTCAGCCGCTGATTGTTTTGTTTTGTTTTTTTGTTTTTTGCTTTTTTTGGTACTGGGGCTTGAACTTGAGTCCTTGCGCTTGCAAGGCAGGCCACCGAACTGCTGAGCTAAATCCCCGGCCCTTCAGCCCTTGAGAGCATGCTAACTCACACAAAATATCGGCGAATGAAATACTTGTACATTACATGTCATTTGTTTCTCTGTGGTCCTTCAACTACTGAGAAATGTTCTAAGAAGACCCTGGCAGGCTCGAACATAAAGGTCGTGACATGCAGGCATCCTTACCATGGACGTACAAAATCTTCAGTTGGAAGGCACCCTCAGACCATGGAGTCTGAAGTACGCACAAAGGAGATTTCACTCTCCAAGCACAGGAAACTGACTGCCTTCTTTGATGTTCACGCCACATTTGAAGCCTTTTCACACTAAGTAAGTTCCTCAAGAGTGCCTCTGCAGGGCAGCTTTTCACCCATGTTTAAGGAGCGCTATTCTGGTACAACCTATCCTTCCTTTCCAACATCCTGACCTTGTCTCCAGATAATTATCCCTTTAATATTAGGACACCATTTCTAGACCATTTACGGCGTTGGTAGCCTTTTCTTAAAGGCAGCACTCTTTTCAGTTTGGTTCTTTGTTAGTCTGAATTTTAGTGCCTTAAAATAACACAGTACTCACTCCGAGTGTCTGAAAAGTACAGGAGCTGTGGGACCCCAACCCAACCCCTGGGAACTATAGTCAGCAGAGAAGTGGCTTGCTCTGTCCTTCCCATCTGCTTCTATTTTTTTAAAATCTTATAACACTGTTTGCTTCCTAAAGTGTCAACCACCCAGTTTAAGAAACAATGAAAGGATTTATCCATTCACTTCCTAAAGAATTTCGTTTTATCTTGGTGTTTCTTAAATTTTTTTAAACCTTGAGTAATTATAATTATTCCTCGCATCCTTTCTCTTTGCAGCATCTCATCACAGATGACTTCCCCTTAGAAGCCACCCAGCTCCCTCAAGATCTCTGCTGTTTCTCTACCAATTTCTTCCTGGACTCTGGGGGTTGCTATGTCCTATTGAAAGAGCATCTTTTACTCTGCCCTCTAGCTGAAGTCTACTGTACTTAAGTTCCATATGTTTCTCAAGGATCTTATTCAATTTCTCTTTGCTTGGGTCTTGTCCTCCTCTGCAGATTTTTACACACACAACTGCCACCATCTCTGAATGATTAGCACAATTAAGAGAGACTTCATCTCCCTCCCAAAAGAAAGGGCCCTGTACTCATGGGTCCTTTGCCTTGTCTCTGCTTTTCCACTTCAGTCTCTAAGTCATTTTCTCTCTCTAGCATTCTCCCTTTGCCATCAGTGTACAGTTGATAAGATGTGAGTTGAGTCTCACTACCTCAGGTAAGTCTTTTTCCAAAAAGTGACTACTTTGCTAGGTCTCCCAGCTAAGGCCTGTGCCTCTGTCTGGACTTCACTCAACTTCAGTTCTTCCCGTGTGGTGTCCCTTGCTTCTGTTCAAGAGGAAGCTCTGCATTCGCAGGCCTCACAACTTCAATTCCATTTTCCATAAATTCCAAAGATAAAGTCTTCCTTCCAGTAAGTTTGTGCTGACTCACACTTCCCTAGCCTTTCCCTAGTTCTTTAGCAAAAGCACCCACTCCTGACCCCTCCAAGAGCACTGACCCCAGAATCAGATGAAACTTAGAGCTGCAGTTGTCCTTCTCAGTCTGAGCATGTTAGGATTGCTGTGAGCACTCAATGAAGATGTCCCAAAGCTCACTTGACAAATAGCAGCCTAGCCCAGTCAAGTGACTGACCAGGTTGTGAAACACTGATTTAAAGTATCAAGTGAGCTATAATAGGAAGCTAATATTTGAGTTTTTGTTTTTCACAAGAGAACATTGCACACTCATAAAGATCCAGACTTAGAACTTTCTGTATCTCAGGATTGACCTGTAAAATAATCACCTGTATCACACGTCTGCTCAAGCCTGTCCTTTCCGCCAGTTTCTGGAGGGTCTGTGCATCTGGGTTGTTGTCCTGAGCAAATTGTGCTTGCATAACCTGTTGTTAAAAAAAAAAAAAAAGGTGTAAATGGTTAAAAAGACACAGTTCAATCTTCTGCATTTTGATGATAACAGAAATAAGACATGCTTAAGCAAACATGATATGGTAATGCTCGGTTCATGATCGCTTCTGTTCATGAATGATTTGGTTCGCAAACAGAAGCATTTGGCAGAATTTTGCTTACATTCACAAACTCTGCCTCAAGAGATGAACACCACCATGGCCGTCTTCCCTCGCATTGTGGAGTGAATCAAATTCATGAACCGAAGTACCACTGTACTTGTGTTTTATGACTTGAAACCCAACCTGGAGACATGTATATAAGTGAAAAAGTAGGCAAATTGTATATATTTACACACAAGGTGTTCTGCTGAAATCTTTAAAAATAATCCATTTCAATATAAATTAATCTCTAAACTATGCTGTTAGAAATAAGCATACCTTTTTTCCCATGCTCAGAACTCACAAATGAAATGCATATGAATACCACTTATACTTTTTCCCATTTTGTCAAACTTCTCAACATTAAAAAACTTAATAAAATATAAAAACCCTATAATATTTCTGTTCTACCTCTTCTGAGTGAAACAGGCTAAATGCCTGTAAAAGAACTGGTATTGATCTGAGAAGAGTATGTAGCTCAAGGATTTCACTTAATTGTAATGTCTCTGTCTTTTTTGGGGTACCTAGTGTCTGTGAAAGAATATCTGAGATCTTGAAAAGAGACCTGTGGGGCCAGAGGTCTGGCTCAGTGGTTCTGCTGCCTGCCTTGCAAATGCAAGGGCCTGAGTTCGATCCGCCATACAAAAAAAAAAAA